TTCAACATGCATTTGACCCATTCATATAATCAATGTGCATCAAATCCCAGTCTGCAACTGTGTTTCCATACAGCTCAATTGAATTACATCGAATAAGATAGGTCCCAAATTAGGTTACAGGTATAAGCATCAAACAAAGTTTCTCTTCCACACTCCTTTATCCTGTAAACGACGGTCAACTGTCTCTGTCCTTCTTAATCTGGCTCTTTCTTTGCATAGTACCTCTTTTCAAAATCATAATGCATCAATGCTTTAATATAAGTTTAATGATAAGCTCTCATGCTTATAGGCTGTTTGTTTAAATAGGCAGCAGGCAGGTATTGAATCAAAGAGGTGGCTGTCAAAAGTCCAAGACGGCTGGCACCAAGGTAGGAAGGAAGGAAACGTGGGCAACGTGAGCATTTCAGCAAGTAAACAGCATTTGCATGTTCACTAGCTCTGTTCTGATCATGATAAATGTGATAAAGCTGCAACTCCTGCGGGCGCCATGTGTTCACCAGGATAATTTCAGTCTCAGCTGTTATTAATCAAGCATCTAGGACAGGCAAGACCAGACAGAGCAGTCTCAAAGGCAAAGGCTAAGTCTCTGAGGTGATGGGTTACTTTGCCACGCAATAAGTGCACTGTGAATATGACTATGCTGCATTTATCTTAGGCACAAACACACAGGACAGGCTCTTCAATATATTGGATATATTTTCAGATGTAGGCTATTCAAAGTCTTTGTCTTTAGTCAAGTGTGCGACAGTGATACTAAACGTCAGTGCATTCTGTCTGTGTCTGCCACTTTGTCAATACTCTCTTTGCACCATTTATTTCCTGTCTCCACTGCACATGTGTTATCATTTAACAGTCAGTCACTTATCAGAGGGGCTCGAGCACATCACTGGGACTACCTCGTATGGCTGCCATTAGAATGAGATCTCATTAGAATGAATCTTTACTAATTTCACAAGAGGGTATTATTATGCATGATTATATAATCCAAGGTCAAACCACTGCCATTCACAACATGCTGTGAGAGATGTTGGAAATGTTACAGTGAAAAAAACAAAACAAAACAAAACAAACAGAGAAGAAAAAAAAAACCTCTCCTCTCTAAAAGCCCTGCTGAGTCGAACTGTAATTTGGAAAAAGAACTGATGCTTCTAAAGTGTGAGCCATATGGCTAGTTACACAACACAATTCTTAGAATATCAGATTTTTTTTTAAAACATAGAACAAAAACCCAACAAAACATTTTCAGCTCTTAATTGCTACAGAGACAGAAGTGCACAACACATTCAGGGATGGTTAATCAACTCTTAGTCCAGCAGAAGACTGTACCGTGTTCCTCAGACACTTTGAGTGAGCAGTTTCTTCACATGCAGTATAGGCTATGACTTTGTTTTGATCTCTGATTCCCCTAACATAAGGTAGACATGCCTTGGAATAATCCTGCCAGGAACCACTATGCTCTTCTCTGGCTCGACCACGATTGTTGGTATTGGCTCCTCGTCAGTTTGGATCCTCTTTCTTGATGCTGGGTTTGCTTCTGACTCACTTGATCTGATACGGATCCAAGTTTACTTGAGATTTCTGGAGGAGCTTGTCCAGTAAGCACTTGGATGGTTGGTTGTGGTAATGGTCTGCATGTATGTCGTGCTAGTAAAGTACCCTTGAGAAAAAGTTGTACCCACTGAGCCTTAAATTATACTTCAAAAACAAAATGACTAAAGCAGGACATAACATTTCCATGTAGGAACAATAAAGTTTAAAGGATAATGGTAACATTTTTCTTATTGTCAACAAATCCTGTGAAAAGATCAACACCAACGCGAAATTGTTCCTACAGTTCGATGTATAGCCAAAGTCTGATGTAGCTTAATCCTACATGTCATTGACATCCACTGGTATCTAGCACTTACATGACTGACTGATGACAATGTTGCTGCCTGACGAAAAACATTTTATTTTGACTCGATCCCAGATGTGTTATCCTATAGTGCCACAAATGGTCTCCATAGAGCAACAAATGTGTATGAATCCGCAGTGGAAAATAGACCCCAACAATTGCACCATTCACTGTTTGCTAAAAAATTGCCCTGACATTTTAGGGAATTATTTTTCTTTTAATGAACTATTTTTATATTTGAGAATTAGATGTTAACTTAAAAAATTAATGAATATAGATTTTCGGTTCCCAAGGCTGACTGATGCTGTTAGTCAAACAAATGAACTTGTTATATTTGTCATAAGTCTTTAAGGAGTTAAATCTCAATAGGAGGGAGAGGCCATCTATCACCATCATATTACTGCTACTTCCCCCGCTACTGTGTCATTATGGAGAGAGCTATACCACAAGACAGGAAGGTGCTACATGCAAAAAAAAAAAAATGGTAGTAAATAAAAAAACATCAGAACAATTTCATCTCCAGTGAAAATATTTTTTCACTATGTTTACATTAGTTTATTGTAAAAGCTTTTGGTTACACAGACCTCCATCAGAGGTGTGAGTCTACTGTACAGGCAGAATCTTTTCAAAAAATCCAACTATGTAACTATTGTATGTGTTAAAATGACAACATCAAAAAAAAAAACCTACAATAGCACATATTTAATATGAGATTAAATCTTAACCATAGTGTCTAAATGCTTTCTTTCCATCCTGTAATTTTGGCATTTTGATGTGTGTGTAATATCTTGTGTCCTCCACTAATTGAACGTTAAAGGAAATGTGAGAATCAGGATCTTGTAATGAGGGATTAGTGTCACTAAGTTTTATCAAGCTCTTGAAGAGTTCAGTTACAAACCTAATTAATACTGTAGAGAGTCAATCAGAGGAGCATGGAAACCAATTCCATGCCATCACTAATTTCCATTGTTTCTTTTTTCCATTGTCACTTAACACTTTTGAAGCTGTTTCAGGATATTCTCTTTACAGTTATTTGTACATATATAACAAAGTTTTAAATTATTTCCTTATTATTTCAGTTATAAGTTGAGTTTTGAAGTTTAATTTATATTCACATTGCTCTAAGAACTGGGATATTTAATGAAATACCTGCAGAAATGATAGATAGATAGTCTGAAATAGGGTAGTTTGATGAATGAACATAATTGTAGCCAGCCATAAGAGAAGCTATTCAGTTGTATTAGAGAAAAGCATGCTGCAAATTATGCTGACTGTTGAGCTAAGTCCCAGAATTGATGTACTGCCAAGTATCTGCATTTGCATGTGCAGTATCTGTGGAAAGTAGCCACCCACATTGGAAGGCTTCATTTCTTCCCACCTATAAGCTAAAATCCACATCAATATGTCTACTTTTTCTTAAAGCATCGCAGATGTGAAGGTAACTTAGTGTATAGATTATCATCTTAAGTGTTTTCAGTGTCAGGTCCGTGAAAGTGAACAACACCATCTGCTCTAGCCTGGTTGGAACAGCAATGCCAGTGTATAATTTGCACTTTTATCAAGTTAAAGTTTAAAACACGTAAAACAGGTTGAATGACTGAGTCCGTGAAAGTGAACAACACCATCTGCTCTAATTTCAGTAACAGTGGCCAGTCTTTAACATATACATGATAAAAAACTGACCCTGATGACCCAGTGTCGATCTCAAAGAAGAATTGTACCCCTGAAATCCAATAAGCCACCGTCAATGTCCTTTTCCATTGAAGTGATGTCTGAACAATAAACAGTGTGAAAGTGACTGAGACACACGCACACGCACACACACAGTGCAGCACTCACTGATTCATCATGCTTTCATCCTGAGATGAGTTTGGTCAAGGTGCCCCTGTCTCAGACGGTGTCCTCTACTGATGCATCAGTAAATGTCTGGGATGGAACTGGGAGTCATATTTAATGAGGAAGTGTATTATTTGCCTTTTGTAGCTGGCAGCTAAAATGACAATGATTTAAACTGATGTTTATTTCATTCTCCAGTCTTGTTATCAGAGGCACAGACATACACTGCTACACTGCACTACAAATTACATTACCTTAAGACAAAAATAAAGCCTCTCTAACGAAACACATGAATAATGGGAAATGTACTGCAGATATTAAGTTAGCAGTAGACTGTACATTTAGAGTATCACTCTGCTTTACAGTTTCTTAGTATTTCGACTTTATTCCCACAGTGAAGCTACAGTCTGTGGGTGGGTGTACAGTATACACAGTGCAACTTCATCTTATAAGTGACGACTTCTGATCAACCTTACACTTATTAAATCAGCTCCCACTGCACCGACCTATTGAATACAGATCTTTTACAACACAACACTGTTGGAATTAAACGGCCGCGTACAAACAAGACACCTCAAAGCATGCACTCGATTCTCTGATCATTTCAGTCCCTTGAGCAAGTTTGAGCTGGCTCTAAAGGCTGGGTTATTCTAGAAAAGAAATGGTTCATACAGTGTGTTGTTCATGTGTGTGTGTATAGCTGATTTGAAATGGGACACTTTTGAAGAGAGTGGGGGAGGGGGGCATGATATTGTTGAGTGGGGGATAACTGTGCCCATTTTCGGACAGGCTCTCCAGGAAGACGTTCATAGTGTTGCACTCGAATGAGAGAGAAGTTTATACCAAGCGTACTTTTTCATCTATGCACGGCTGCCCAGTCACAACAGGAAGTGGGTGTGGATGTCAGATCGTTGCTTTCAGATGGTCAGACACAGCCCCAGCTAATCTGACGCTGTGGTCAAAAGGGGGAGCTGTCCAACAAACAGTTCTGATGGAGAACACTGTCCCCTTAATGGGAGAATATGCATCATGTTCAATCTTGAACCTTTTGGGAATCAGTGAAATAGTAAACGAGGTCTTGTGTTTATATGGTGTTTACATTGCACTGTATTAAGACACAGCTGTACTGTGGGCTTGTGCTTGTACATGATGTCATTTCTGAATGGCTGCCAGGTGAATTAATTTGTCTAAAAGTCCATAAATGTTACATAATTCACTGCAACATTGGGTTAGTAAATCTGTGTAATCTTGTTTTCGTGTTTCGGTGCAGGAGTGGAAGGCATGGAGTGCTCCCTCCCCATGGACGGCAGACGTGTATCCCTGACCCAGCTCTCAAAGGACAGCTTCCGTGAGTGCCAGGCCACTCTGACTCTAACGGACCTGCTCATCATCATTTTCTCTGGCATCTCAGTGTCTGTGGTGGCCATCATGACAAGCTTCTTCCTGGCTTCAACTGTTCATTGCTTCCAGCGCTGGAGTAAAGGCACCAAAGGGGATGAGGAGGAGAGTGAAGAGTGATCAGAACTTTACTTTTTATGGGCCCGCATTGAATGGGTGCTTCAAACAAATGAAGGGACACCGCAGACTGTGTGTGCTACATGTGACAAGTTTCATGCTGCTCATGGTGAATTTGCAGGACTGTTTAATGGTAGGATGTTGCCCTGGTGCGGTTGCAGATGTTGTCTTTGCACATGGACAATATGGTAACAAAGGACGTTCCCAAGGAATGAGCCAAAGTCCCAATACAAATTAGTGAGTGTCCATTTCCACTCGCAAAATGATATAGAGTTCATATTTTTGGGTGCGAGAGCATGTGGTCATATTTTATGGCTACTGGTTCTTGGCTCAGTGTTATAAACCTACACAAATCCAGTATGCTATTATGAACGAGAAATAGATTTAAAGAAAAGAAGTGTTGCTGCAGTGCTCGCACTGCTGTCGCATTAGTCTTAGACAAGCCAATAATTTAAATAACGTCCAATCACACGGACGTCCAGCTGTGGAGTCTGAATCCTGTAAAGTGACATCAAAGTTAGCACGGACTTTTAGATGATTTTCATTGGGGTTTTATCTGTGTAGGGCAGAATACTTGATCTCGATCCCATAAAAAAAAAAAAAAAAAAAAAAGGATGTCATACCGACCAGTGACCTCAGTATTTAACTGCCTATACCATGATATGCTGGCATATCCTGCCATTTACAATGTCTCTTTTGGACAGCCTCATTTACCAAGATACAAAAGTGGTTCACAAGCACCAGAGAAGGCAAATTCTGTTGTTCCTCCTGCATTTAAAACGAGACAGTGACAAAGGTGTCCGTCAAATAGAAAAGATTTTGGTCAGTGATGAGACGTTTGATTGGTGATGTACCTTAGGCAGGTCGAGATGGGTCTACACGTTCTTTCAGCAGTATATTCATTATATAATCACAAACGTATGTACAAAAAGAAAACAATGTACAGTCAGACAAATATATAAATCAAGAGGATATACTGTATGTTCCTTAGATTGATAACTGTGAACAGTGTAGAAAGAAATTCAATTAGTCATTAAATAGTTGCAATATAATCTTGAAAATTATGGCAAATACGGTATTAAAATAGAATCTATGTAGAACCTGTGTCAAACAATGCACTTTAAATGGTGAACATAATTTTGGCAAGCCCCTAATTACACCATGTAGACTGGTTTTGTTATCATCTGCCAAAGATTAGGTTATGGTGAGGGAGAGATTTCATATAAGGACTTTGGTGTGGATGAAGTTTTACTTAGTGAGGTAGTGGTAGCTCCTAAATAGAAGGCAGCACTATAGCCAAATCACACTCTGTATACGCATATTGTACTCAGTCAAGCAGTTATGGTCTCCAAAGCTTTACATTTTCTTCTGGTCTGTCTATGACTGAACCAGCTGTCTTACTTGGCTTCATACAGGGCAGTCTTTAACCTCTATTTTAGCAGGAAGGTCATTTCAGAATGGGTAGAACTGTACAAGGGTGGCGAGCAAGAGGTTAGTTTCTTGAGGAATAAATAGATGTCTATTGTTGTGTTTTAAGATTTACCAGAATATATACATCATGGAGCTCAGCTTATTGCCCTTTTACTAAAGATCTTCCAGCATCTTGTAGTAAAGCTTCTGATCTGATATACCCTGGAGAAGTCTCATATCAAAACTCTCACTGTATCAGCGTCTGCATTCACGAGAACGACAGTACAGTACCTCTAAATAAAGCAGTGCCCTAAATTTTATGGGTTTCTGTTTGTTATTTGCATCCTGTACATTTAAATCCTCCATGACTAGGATTTGGAATGCACAAAGCCGGACTCTTTATATTTCCTTTTTCCCCAAAGCTAAGGTATGTTGCATCGCTTCTCACATTCTTGTAAGGCATGAATAATTCAACGAAATTGAGACGTGAAGCAGAAAGAATGTCAAGCCTCTAAACGCAAAAACAGAGGACAGAAAAAGAGCCATGAACAAATAGAGCCATCGTTTCTGCGTGCTTGACAAAAGATAAAAAGGAATTCAAAATGTCCCGTTAGAACATGTCAGAACTCTGAATGTGCTGTGTTTTGAAGCACATTTTGCAGAAATGACAATAAATAAATGTGGCCTTATTTATTTTGCATTATTTTTCACTAGTATAAGTCAGTCATCAATAAAAGCACAAAGATTTCACATGAAACTAATCCTAGGACACTTTAAAGGATGCGTTACATTCATATGTTGGTACCAGCCTGTGTTGTCACAGTATGTTTTCATTAATGTGTTTTGTCACATGTTGTGCTGAAAGTGCCACATCTGGATTTGTACTGTATAGATGTTGTGTATTTGCCAGAATTCAAATCATATGGGACACTTAGAAGACATACGCCCACTGGAAATTCATATTCATTTACTGTATAACAGCCAACTGACCTTTCTCTAAACCCCTCCCCTGAACAGTAATTGCCCAATCATAGCTTAGTAACTGTAACTAGGCACAAGCTTTGAATTTCTACGATTCCATTCTAACATCAGACAGGCCTAAAGGGGAATGCCACTGAATTTCATATCTGAACTCTGTCATTCCTGCTTCTTATGACACTTTGGTCAATAATTGTGAAGTACACCTAAAACTTTATCGCTCATTGCCAGAGTAAAGCTGCCCACGGGTGAGAGAATGAGAGTGTGGACATTTAGGAGCTCAGCTCCCAGTGAAAAGTATGAAACCATTTTGATTTTGTATGAGCGAGTGTCCAGTTATTGGCGTGAGAAGAGCGTTCATGTTCAGAAAACAAACATTTGGCTGCCTAACGCTGCAAGAATAGCTAATGTGGATTAATTCGACTGAGTGGTTTTTGGATGAGAAACTGTTTTTCTTTCTTAACCGCTATCTGGAGGTGCAGACCTGAATCAAGGAATCAGAGGGAGAGTTTTGATACATATCATTATCATTTCCAACTACTGTGTAGTTACTGTATATTAACAAATTATTATGTTAGCTTAGCTGTTAGCTTGACGCATATGTTAGCATGACATTTTCCTTTCTCTTACTCATTTTATTAAGTAACAAATATCAGCACATTAGAGCATGCACTGTTGAGTTACCTACGGTACAAAGTTCAGATTCATGTCTATTTTTCTATTAAACCTTTCAGAATGAAACATTTATTTACTCTGTTGGTCCCCAAAGTAATTTAGTAATTACTTTTGTTGTTTTGGTTTTTTTTGGCATCGCGCAACCTCGAAAGCAGAAACACCGGTGGCTGCTTTCCTACTGTTTGTTTTGACATTGCTTCAAATACCAAAATCCATGTTATGTTTTGTCAGATAAATGTCAGAATGGCTCAATTCTAAATGAGGTGACAGAGGAGAGTGTGATGTTGCTGCAGCTAAATGCATTTCCAAATGTCAAACAGACACTGTCAAACAGACCATATGTGTAGCTGTAAATTGATGTTTGGTAAAATAAAATAAAATAAAATCCTTTTTTCTGTCATTTGGTCTGTATATGTTAAGAATGTGTATATTAATGTGGAAATACAGATAAAGAAGCAGGGTAATCATTTGTTATGAAAGCAATATACAGTATGTCAACATACATACAGTGTACCTGTGATACAGACTCAACCTGCACAGGCCAAGTTATAATACAGTATTCAAGGTTGACAGTCAGTGATATTTCCCTTTATTCAAATGCTGTCTTGCATGCAGAAAATGTGAAAACAGTAGCAGAGTCATTCTTAGCAAATCGATATCTATCTCAAAAGTGTTAATAATGACTCAATGATGTGAATCTCTTCCCCTCATTTCCCGGAGATGACAGATTTTAGTCTTGTCACAGCAGCAAATGATAGAGGCTCATCTGTAAACACGGCACAGTGTGTTATTTCACACAGCACTGTTATCACACTGCAGGTATGCAAATGGCTGAACTATTTTTGGAAAGGGTGTTAGAGAAATTAGAGATTTAGAAGGAAAAAAAAAATCAAATACCATCCGCTTGCATAACAAGTATCCAGCCTGCTGGTGGACAATTTCTTTCATTCAGAGCCGTAAGCATTTGGACAATCTGTGTGCAACATGATGAAAGGATAACCAAGTCAGACGAAAACAAATTGACATGCAATGCAATCTCATCCTAGCAAGGCATTTGTCCTGCTTGTCTCCAATGTCCTTTTTTTTTTTTGCAGTATCAAGTTCTGTACCTTGTATGAGTTACTTCTTTTTGTAGATGTGTGTTTCTTTTTCTATCCCTCATGCTGATTAATTTCTCCACATTTTTCTCAGCATGTGCCTTTGTTAGGTTCTATTATGAGACTACAAGAGGTGGTCGAACATGATAGCTTGCTGTTCTGAAGAAAAAGAAGTCAAAGAAGCATAGGATGAAAACAACTCTCCCCCTCGGGGAATGTAACGTTGGCTAGAGAGAAAGCAGAGTCACGGCACACACCAGAGAGCAATGATTACAGAATCATTTATGGAGATATTTGCGATATCAAAAACAGGCATTGCCACATTGGATGGAGAAAGACTTGCACATAATACATTTGTGCACCACTGAAAAGAGGCCTGTGAGGGTGGTGGTCGTGATGAGGATTCTCCTGCAACCATTTACCTCATTTGGTTGTCATGGCTACACAGCCGGAGGCCCGAGCTCTTGGACGCCGAGGCGGGAGCAGAGAGAGGGAGGGATGCTGGGAAGCATGGCCCTCAGTGTGGCTGCCTCGTCTCTCTTTCCATGCATCAACTAACTGGACCTGGCATTTAAAAAAAAAAAAATGTCCATAGCACTGTGAACCAATCTGTGACTTTCACATCCCTCCTCCCTTTTTGATTTGTCTGCAAAAGACATTGTGATAGGTTAGATAAGGATATCCTTCATGACATCCACATCATTAATGGAGTCTGTGTAATGCCATTACACAGAGGATGGTTATTTGCTTCTGCTGAGCTTGTGTGATTGAAAAACAATATTGCCACAGGTGTAATTGATTGTAGCAGCATCTTAGATGTAGCCAAATATGCTGAGAGAAAGTAAATATTTTAAAGGCTCTATATTGGGTTAGGGTTAGGGTCAAAGCAGTCACCGCCCTCAGCTATGTCCCAAGCCCAACCCACCTGGACCCACCATCCAACCTTGCAGGATTTGGTTTCTCTGAGTGTCTACCTGAAATGTGCTCTTTTTTTATTTGATCACTCTAAAAACAGTCAGCCAATCAGAAGAGAGGCTCAGAGCCTCCTCTCTTCTGATTGGCTCACTGACCTGTTGTTACTAGAGCTCCAGAGAGAAGCCTGAGAGAGGAGATGTAAAACTACATTGAGATGATTTTTGGTGCTTAAAACCACAAATATATTTTCTTATGGATATCAAAACTTCAAATAAAAAACAGGAAAAGTGTAAAATATGGGACCTTTAACCAACTCTAATAAACTGTAAATAATGATCACATGAAGATTTTTGTACCAGAAGTCCAAAGAACAGACAAACACAAAAAGGTTTACCTGCATAAAGTGACTACAGCACAAGATTTAAGATTTCTCAAAAAAAAAAAA